GGAACGCCAGGTCTCTGGTTTTCAGCCAGAAAGTCCGGTTGAAAGGAGACCTGTACAGTGGCCAGTCACATGTACTGACCGGATACCAAAAGTCCAGTTGCCATGGGTGGGGGGGCCAAGGGAGGAGGCTCTGGGTCATCAACCCATGCCAGCCCCTGCTCAGTGGGGGCTGCCTCCTACCTGCAGCTCGGGAGCCTGCCTGCCCAGTCCTAGCCCCGAAGCAGAGGGAGCGCTGCTGGTGGTGGTGGTGGATGGGGGAGAGGAGATAAGTGGACAGGACCAAGTAAGGAGGAAGGGGTTGGGGGGGAGAGCCAGGCGGGATGAGGGCAGGGCCTCGGGGGAAGAGGTAGGGCGAGAGGAGGTTCCAGCTCTCCTGCTGCGGTGTTCAGTTTTTAGAAATTAGAAGGTTGGCAATCCTATCCATGAGATGCACTTCTTTTATACATACGTACCCTAAAGCTGCAACAACTTTTTTGGTATCATATCCCCAGTGCAAAGTCATGTTTATTTTGCTGTCCAGTCTCAATCTTAATTCTTTCAGCGTTATTGCTTTCTGGGTTTACCCTTTCCATTGAATATTTTTTTTTTAATTATTTCACTCCCAGTGGCGCTGGAACAGTTTTTGGAGTGGGAGTGCTGACCTGCACCCCTCTAGCTCCAGCCCCTAGAGCTGGGACCGGGAGCAGGGCCATGGCTCTGGGAGGGGGGACGGGGCCACAGCTAGGGGCAGGTCAGAGTCCCAGGCATAGGGCTGGCAGCAGAGCCCCGGCAGCAAGGCAAGACCCTGCATGCGATCTGGCGGCCAGTGGATCCCCCGGGCATGGGACCGGCGGTCAGATGGGACCCTGTGGCCTGCAGTGGAGCCCCCAGGCTGTAGCGGGGCTGGTGGCCAGGACGCCAGGCACAGAACCTGGGGTGCTGAGGCACCCCCTACATCCCTTCTTTCCGTGCCTACGTTCACTCCAGATTTCCTAACAAGTGTTTTTTCAAAGTTTTCTTTTTCCTCATTTAAGTTTAGAACTTGTGCAGTTTTTATCATCTGAAAAATTTTATTAAATGCTAACTAACCCATTTCTTTTTGTCATTTTAAAAAACTGAACCCCTAAGAATTTATGATCTTAGGGTCTAATTCTGCAACTCACGCCAAGTAGCACTTACTCATGATCGGAGTCCCATTAAGTGGGACTAGATACTCAGCATGCATAAGCATTGTAAAAATCAGGCCCTAAACAAGGATGTAAATGAGACGGGACATAAACTTCAGCACCTGCTAGACATCGTCCCTGAAACTCAACACATTTCTGTTTATCATTACAATTTGGTTATGGTTCTTCAGCTCATTTCCAGTCTATGTGGCGCTGTCCATACCTAGGAAAATCTCATTAAATGCTGAGAGTAAGCTTTCCTGAGACATCAGAAAAGCTTCAATAATATTTTAACACTGTACACTTATTGAAACTACTGTTTTTTGTAATTTTGTCAAAAATGGAAATAAATGTACCTGGCAAGATGTGTTCATGACTAACTCATGATTCTATTAACCTGTAGATGCTTAGAAACTTTTTTCTCAGTATTTCTCCTATTATTTTACTGGGGTTTGGAGCAATTCTTTTTTCACAAGGAATCGCTGGGAGATAATTACCAGGATAATTATCCTTTCCCTTTTTAGAAGAAAAGAGGACATTGATCTTCTCAGATCTTATAACTCAATCACTACCTTATTCAAGTACTTCTGTTTAAAAATCACAGGGCGCTGCTCAAGGAACATGTTTAGTTAGTAATCAAATAAAAATTTTCTTCTTAACATAGTCACTCTCAAAACGCCAAGGTTGGATATCACCAAAATACAACATATGAAAACTATGGAAACGTATACATATTGAGCATTTCATTATATTACTAATTCCTGAAGTTTCTCCCTTTTGGTTTAAGCATTTTATGAGCATATGTGTGCATGGAAAATTATAGTTGTATATATGAACTTACTGAGCCTATCCTGTCAATCCCCCTCCATTCCTTTCCTATTTCCAAACAATAGCCTGACAGATTCCTCCACCTAACAGGCTGAAGCCAAACACCTGCCTTCTCATCCCATGACAGATCCTCAGGTCCCTAGAGTGCTCTGTTCTATCTTGTTTTCTCCACCAGCAATCACCTGCTTCAACAAACTCCCTCTGGCAGGGGTTTCCAACAAAATGTTCTGTCCCCTTAAGAAAGTTACCAAACCTTTACTTTGTGCTTAAAAGGTGAATCTTTATTCTCTCTCACATCCAATAAAAGTTGCTTAGGACTTTCCACCCTACTCCAGCTTTTTCCCTTCTCTGATGTCACCTCCCCACTACATTACCTGTTGTGAGGTCCAGCTGCCTTTGTCAGGCTCCAGTATTTCTACTTTCCATTCACATCACATTACCATATGCACAGTATGGTTTGATGCCAAAGTGCACATGTGCAAAGTAATGATGCTGCTAGACCTCACAATGGCCCCAGAAGGGTACAGTGGCATGTATCATACCTAGTCTGTGTGTGTGTTGCATTTAAGTAGAGAGAGAAAGAGGCCTGGCGAATGTTGGGTCATAGCAGGCTGGTGAAAACCAAATGCCTATGGTGTGTGGAGAGACTCTAGAGAGCCTTAAGGCCTATGGGAGATGAAAGTCACTATGATCTCTCTGTACATTAAGTGGATGGAGCTGTGACAGTGAAGGAACTGGGGACCTGTTTATGGGGTACTGTTACCTTAATAGGAACCTTAAATATGGTTTGTTTTGGAGAAAACATCTGAATGATATAGTTCCTTATGAAAACCAGTTTATTTATCCCTAGTATTCTTGTATGGATATATTCATTTATATAAAATAAAACTTTTCTTCTTAACACAGTCACCCTCAGGCTCCAGCATATCACCCTCAAATGCTATTACACACACACACACACACACAGAGTTAGATACACACACACAAACACACACATATATATATATATGCTCGAGTGCTAGGGATTAGTCAAGTGGTTCTCATCAGGTAACTGTATCAGACCTGAGCTCTTTCTTTAAAACTAATCCAAGCCTCTGGGTGCGCGCATGCACACATATATGTATATCACTACCTATGCCACAGACTCTGACACACAAGCATAAACTGTTAAGATATGTGTTTTAATATGTATACAGTGCTCTGAAGCTAGAAAATGCTACAGTATTTATACTTGCTATGTATCATTGTTTTAGGTGAAGGAGCTCAGCTTTAGAGAAATAGGTTTTGGACTTGATATCCAATGACCATGATTTGATTTTAAAATCATTGGTTAACTTGGGAATTGTAACCATAGCAAGTGGCAAACTTCCAGTTTTCAGCACTCTAGACGTTGAAAAAAGTCCACTGATTGCCCACTAGGGAAAAAAATAAGCAGATGGCAGTTGAGCTAGCCCTCGCCACTGAGAAAGAACAGTGACCACTAGATAAAGGCTAAACTTGACAGATTCTACTTAGCCTGCTGAGGAAGTTATTACAGGAAAATCTAGGAGGAACAAAGGGCAAGGATGAACATTACATCAAATCATATCTTCTGTTTTCCTACTGTGTCAAAGATCATTTTTCCCTTAGAGGTAATGGCATGTTTTTCACTCTTATAATCTCTGTTACTGTATTCCGGTTACCAGCAATACTAGACTGATTGTTTTATTGTCAAACACAGCTTAACACATCTGCTCATACAGTCAAGGTTACAGACAGAGGGAACTACTTTGACAGTAGTACTTAGCTGAATTACCCACTCATGACACAAAAGTGAAAAAGCTAGCGAGTTTTGAGTCTGCTTTTAAGTACTGACATAATCTTATAACTAAGGTAGCGTGTGGGCTTGCCTGTGCAACTCCAAACAACTTCACCTGGTTTAAACTGAAGAGGAAAAACAAAAAAGATAATAAAATGTTATTTAGTGTCTTTGATTCTTATACAAATCTTCATTTCTGAAGCTTTCCACCAACACAATTAATCAAATTTAGCTCTTCTACAAAAATTACAATTTCTTACATAGCCATAGTAACTAGAAAAATCGAACCTAAAATGTGCATGCCTCTGATAAACTCTAACAAAGCCATCTTTCCTTCATCACAAAGATTGAGCATTCCAGTTGTTTCATCTCAGGAAAATCAAGCGAGGCATCCCTCATTACATAATTCAAAAGCCCCCAAATTAAAAGCCTCCAAAATAAACTGAAATAAGATGAGTGCTGATCCATAGAAACATATGGGACTGTTAGCAATGTGGTTAATGAAGCACGCTAGAGTAATTTTATAACATTAGTGGCATTAAGAGAAAAGAAAACCAGAATGTCAAGTAATGAGTGATTTTATGCGATTAGCCTGCATACCACGCAAGAATAATAATTCACACTACACAATTCTACAATATTGAAGCATGCCTTCCAGTTACCTATAACTACTGCTGGAAGAATGTGTTCTCAAAATTCTATGATGCAATGTGGGTAAAATGAAAAATGGAGATAAAGACTGATAAATATCAATACCATTGGCCAAATGCTACCTATCTTAGTGATGTGAAGATTCCCAAAGAAGACTGTGGAAATACTTGCATTATTACATAAGGGAGTAGAACTGGGCTCCTTTTGTAAATATTAAGCTAATATAAACAACTATTTTCTCTGTGCTTCAGAAATTTGCAAATAATCCCTCTTAAATTTTATAGCACCATTACATCTAACAGTATACCTGTTGACTCTGCAATTAACAGGAAAGTCCAAAAATGCTTGTATTGTTATCCTTTATTTTTAAAGCATACCATATCAGATTAAAGCTCAGCAAGAATGAGTCTAAAAACATCCTGCTTGATATGAAGAAAGCTTTGACATTTTCCTGATGCACAGTTCTTAGTATAAGTCCAAGTGAAGAGATCTCATTCGCACTTACCTCTACCAGAAGAATATTTGTACTTATGATTCCTACATTCAGATTGCATAAAATGCACAGAAGGAAAGGATACAAGCTCTGGTAGAGGGGTATGAGAGATTTCACAGCCCTGCTGGCATTGATGCATGTGGCACATATAAGGCTTGGCAGCAGTTTTGCAGTCACTATTGCTCCATCAAACAGAGGACCAAAAAATGGCACCTGCAATCCAAAAAATAGAAGTAATAGTATTTTCAGATACAGCATTCTCCAGTCTTAAATTGATGGTATAACTGGGGGTGGAGGGAGATTTTCAAAGGCACAAATAGAAACTAGGTACTCAATCCCCATTGACTTTCCAAAGGAGTAGGGCACCTAACTTACCTTTGTGCCTTTGAAAATCTATTCCGAGGACATTATATTAAATTCTGCAATACACAAATAGGGATCAATGAGGTTTTGGAAGGGAAGATTACAAAAATGAAAAATATCCAACACATTATCTCTTTATAATGAGCCTGCTCCACTATTTCTGACAGAAACAAAATAAGCATGTTATTACATGTACCAAATAATCTTCTAGTAAGACATTCATGGCGATATTTTGTTTTCAAGAAAACATACATTTGTTCAGATCTGGCATTGTGCTCTCAGCTAAATATTTGTATACCTAAAGTTTTGCCACTGGATATTCTTCACAAATACCATCAGTTCCCATCTCTCTTGGAGACCAGGAAGATACTGCTAAATAGTTTTTCACAGGCTGATTGCAGACATAAAAAAATTGATTAGTTCCTACTGCATGGATATTAGGGATGTAGTCTCTCCTCCATCCCATCACTTGGGCTACAATCAGAAGAAAGGTAAGTCAATCATACTCAGTAGAATTTAGCTTTGGTAAGTACTGCAAAGCAGGTTTTTTGGTCACAGATTTTTCTCCTCAGATTGTAATTTTTGCTTGAGCACAAAGCTATAGCTTAAACTGTAGCACAGATTAAAGTAAGAACAGAAACATTTGTTGGCAGCTGTCAGTATTTGCATTTATATATAAAAGTAGCATTAAGATATAATGTGGAAGTAACTTAGATACTTAGACATCCATAACCTGTTTTGAATAAAGTGAGTCTTTAGGTTTATTCTCATAAACCATAGCATTGGGGTGTAGTCATGAGTTTGGAATGGCTTCCTGTCTAGCTCCCTGAAGAACAGTCACACAAGGAAAAGTATAGCTTAACGAAAAGGTAACAAGTAAAACTGAAGTCTCCATGGGATGCAAGTAAAGAGAAAATCCCCAAAGAGGTCAAGAATCTGGTACAGGTGGTAGGTAAACTTGAGTGAAAGACTGGATTGAGCTAAGTATAAAAAATAGGGCTGTCAAGGGATTAAAAAAATTAATCACGATTAATCACACGATTAATCGCACTGTTAAACAATAACAGAACACCGTTTATTTAAATACTTTTGGACCTTTTCTACATTGTCAAATATAATGATTTCAATTACAACACAAAATACAAAGTGTACAGTGCTCACTTTATTTTTTATTACAAATATTTGCACTGTAAAAAACAAAAGAAATAGTATTTTTCAATTCACCTAATACAAATACTGTAGTGCAATCTCTTTATCATGAAAGTTGAACTTACAAATGTAGAATTATGTACAAAAAACCCCTGCATTTAAAAATAAAATAGCATAAAACTTTAGAGCCTACAAGTCCAATCAGTCCTACTTCTTGTTCAGCCAATTGCTCATACTAGTTTGTTTACATTTGCAAAAGATAATGCTGCCTGCTTCTTGTTTACAATGTCACCTGAAAGTGAGAACAGGTGTTTGCATGACACTGTTGTAGTTAGTGTCACAAGATATTTACGTGCCAGATGCACTAAAGATTCATATGTCCGTTCATGCTTCAACCACCATTCCAGGGGACATGCATCCATGCTGATGACAGGTTCTGCTTGATAACCATCCAAAGCAATGTAGAAAGATGCATGTTCATTTTCATCATCATGAGCCAAATGCCACAGAAGGTTGATTTTCTTTTTTTGGTGGTTTGGGTTCTGTAGTTTCTGCATGACAGTGTTGATCTTTTAAGACTTCTGAAAGCATGCTCCACACCTCATCCTTCTCAGATTTTGGAAGGCACTTCAGATTCTTAAATCTTGGGTCCAGCACTGTAGCTATCTTTGGAAAATTCACATTGGTATCTTCTTTGCATTTTGTCAAATTTGCAGTGAAAGTATTCTTAAAAACGAACAACATGTGCTGGTCATCATCCAAGACTGCTATAACATGAAATATATGGCAGAATGTGGGTAAAACTGAGCAGGAGACATGCAATTCTCCCCCCAAGGAGTTCAGTCACTAATTTAATTAACGCATTATTTTTTTAACAAGCATCATCAGCATGGAAGCATGTCCTCTGGAACGATGGCCGAAGCATGAAGAGGCATATGAATCTTTAGCACATCCGGCATGTAAATATCTTGAAACATCAGCTATAACAATGCCATGCGAACACCTATTCTCACTTTCAGGTGACATTGTAATTAAGAAGTAGGCAGCATTATCTCCCGTAAATGTAAACAAACTTATTTCTCTTACCAATTGGCTGAACAAGAAGTAGGACTGAGTGGACTTGTATGCTCTAAAGTTTTACGTTGTTTTGTTTTTGAGTGCAGTTATGTAACAAAAAAACCCTCCATATGTAAGTTGCACTTTCCTGATAAAGAGATTGCACTACAGTCCTTATATGAGGTGAATTGAAAAATACTATTTCTTTTTATCATTTTTACAGTGCAAATTTTTGTAATAAAAAATAATATAAAGTGAGCACTGTACACTTTGTATTCTGTATTGTAATTGAAATAGATATATTTGAAAATATAGAAAAACATCCAAAATATTTAATAAATTTCAGTTGGTATTCTATTGTTTAACAGTGCAATTAATCACAATTAATTTTTTGAGTTAATTGCGTGAGTTAACTGCAATTAATCAACAGCCCTAATAAAAAGTGAAGTAATCCAGTATATCTCTCAAAGGGATTCTAAAGACATAACTGTAATTACTTCCTTAAAGAGTTTTGTGCTGGAGACTTTAGGTGACGATGTCCTCAAGAGCCTTACTGTCTAATTTAGGGATTTAAGATATGGATGGAGGATCAGGTTCCAAAGGCAATATCCTAATAATAAATACTGTACATATTATGTCTCTTTTAGACTGTAAATTCTTCATGGCAGGGAACATCTCTGCTATTTAGGGTAGTATATACATGATTTTTTCTATAAGGTAGGAGTTAGCTTCTATTAAGCCAAATTTTAACAGGTCCTTACATTTATTAAAACTGAATAAATTCATTAGATATTATCCACCTGTGATCTGATGCCAGTCAAGAAATTTTCTGGAAAGCTGTGGGGGGTAGGGGGGAGCAGGCAAACCAGACAGTGTTGTCATGAGAGCTTATAAATTGAGTTTCTACTTGGAAACTTTCTACCGTTTGGGAGGGGGGGGGGTTGGCTTGTTATTTTTAAAAAAATGATTTGAACTAGAATCTCCAAATTTGTTTTATTCTGTTGGCCTAAATGAGGATTGGTATTTAAAAATACATTAGGGTAGATTTCTGGGTTCATATCTAGGCCACAATCCTGCACCCTCAACTGCACATTGGGACCCTAGTTATTGCATGCAGTGTTCATAAACATTGAAGTCCTTACAAGGTCTACCAGCTCTGGAACATGGTGCTCGTTGCCCACAGGTTGTGGGCTTCCTAAGCTCAGGAATGGAGTAGGGACAAGGGGTCCAGGAAGGCAGAAGAGGAAAAATGAGAGACATGGAGCCCCAAGGGGGTCTAGTGTGCAGATGAATGGAGAGAGACCGAGCCACATCAGGAAAGGGCCATAGACCCACATAGCCATTGTTGTAGAGCTTCTAAGTTCTGCAAAGCTTAGAAACATTAGCTCTGCAAAGTCTGATGTGATGACTGTTAGTTCTTCAAGGCCAGGGCTGTTTTAAATTAATTCATAAAAATGTAAGGAAAATACATTACTAAAAAGCCTATGACAACTGAATGATATTGAAAATATGTAGCTGTATCTTCAAAGATGCTTTAAAATAATTTACATCTTAAAAAAAACAAACAAACAACCACCCCAGCTCTCAGCCACTAGATAGACACCACAAATTCAATCAAGAGCACCCAACCAACCAACCCTAACTTAGCCCCTATTCTCACCATGCAGATACTACTGTGATAGCTTCAATATAGAAACCAAGACAGTATTAGATATAATTCAATGCATGTAAGATAGATACAGTTAGCTTAGCAGTTAAACTCTACATAGCTATCCTCAGCAAATCTAATATGTAAACAAATATTTTCATAAGCTTTTTAAGACTTAAAATGTGCTTAGTTTTTATATTCTGTATCACTGCAGAGTTCACCTATGAACTTGAAGGCGGCAGTGTGCTTCTGGTAGATATTACTTTATGATATTCAAGCTAGATAGCTATCTATGCTGAATCTTACAAGTGGAACCCCACATAGGGTTCCCTTCCCCTGTACAGACCCCCCCCCCCCCGGGAGTTAAATAAGGGAAAAGAATGATCTGGCCCAAGGTAATTAGCTTCTAAGCAAAGGGCCAGTTAATAGCAAAAACAAACCAAAAAACCCCATCTTAAAAACAGTATCTTATAGATACATAGAATCATAGAATATCAGGGTTGGAAGGGACCCCAGAAGGTCATCTAGTCCAAGCAGGACCAATTCCCAGTTAAATCATCCCAGCCAGGGCTTTGTCAAGCCTGACCTTAAAAACCTCTAAGGAAGGAGATTCTACCACCTCCCTAGGTAACGCATTCCAGTGTTTCACCACCCTCTTAGTGAAAAAGTTTTTCCTAATATCCAATCTAAACCTCCCCCACTGCAACTTGAGACCATTACTCCTCGTTCTGTCATCTGCTACCATTGAGAACAGTCTAGAGCCATCCTCTTTGGAACCCCCTTTCAGGTAGTTGAAAGCAGCTATCAAATCCCCCCTCATTCTTCTCTTCTGCAGGCTAAACAATCCCAGGTCCCTCAGCCTCTCCTCATAACTCATGTGTTCCAGACCCCTAATCATTTTTGTTGCCCTTCGCTGGACTCTCTCCAATTTATCCACATCCTTCTTGTAGTGTGGGGCCCAAAACTGGACACAGTACTCCACAGGAGGCCTCACCAA